GCACCCCAAACTTTCCCCACCATCCCCCCCCGCCCACGCATCCCACTCGCCCCCATGGCCGGCACCATCCCGCTTGCTCCATCCCAAGGGCGGCAGCCGCCCCGCTGAGGAAAGCACCTCGTCTCACCCTATCTTATCTAAATATTTGGGAAGCGGCGCTGGAGACAGGATGCGCTTGCCGGGAGGGAGGAAAACGGGTCCTGGACCCAGTGCGAGGGTGAGCTCAGCACCGTGAGGCCCCGGCCGTCCCTGGGAACCAGCGCTGGCCCTCGCCTGTCCTTTCGCTTTTGCAGGGGCAGAAACTTCCACCCCCACCCCAGGCCCCTTCGGTGAGTGGGAAAAGAGCCGGGTGGAAAACCTGCCCTGGGCAGCGAGACGAGACCTTGGCATCCCCCAGAAAGCTGGTCCCGTGCCGTTCAGGGAGGAGAGGGTTATGGCTGGGTTGGGGTGGTGTTTTTATCGTCTTCGGACGCTGGGTTGTGCTCCTACGCTTTCCATGCCTGCGCAGCGTTTTCTGCTGGGCAAAGGCACGAAAAGCCTCCCTGCATCCTCCTTCCCCTGGTTTTGCCACAGTTCTGCCTTCCCCCAGCCCTTTAATAACCCACTTCTCCTCCTACCACACCATCGAGGGGAAAATGCGACGTTATCCAGTAAAGGTGTGTAACCCTTCTGTTTGAGAGAGAAGTGAATATTAATGAAAACTCGCACATTAAAACCCTTCTGGAGTACAGAGAGGAGGAGCGTATCGCTATGGTTTTATATTTTGTGTGTGTCACAAATTAATTCATTACTATGCTTCAGAGACTGTTTGATTAAATGCCTCCAGGGCTGCTCTGGCCATTCATTTTTTGGTGACACCCAAGTGTGGCCACTGTGAAGACGACGCTAATGTATACAACACAATATTCAGCATTGCAAATGGAAAAAATACCTCTTTAAAATACCTTTTTTTTTTTTTTTTTGGGGTGGGAAGGGAAATCAGATGCGAGGCCAAAAAAAAACAGCTGAGCAGCGGATGGTGAGCAATGCTTAAACCCCTTTAGAGGCTGAACTGGAGGGATTTACCCTCTCCAGGGTTGGAGAGGGGCACAGTGAGGCCCGCTGAAGCGGGCAGGGATGCCCCGGCGGTGGTGCCACAGCCCTGGCAGCTCTCCCCTCCCGCCGCCGGAGCTGCTCGCATTCCTTGGCCGGAGTTGACAGGCACTGCCGAGCAGCTCGAATCCGGTTCCCACACTGGCGGGGACCTAAAACTAACATCCCTGAGTGAGGTAACGGCACTTGAGTCAACAAACCACCCCCGCCAGCTGGACGGGGCGAGGGGGTCCCTCTGCCTGCTCCAGGGACCGTCCTGCTGGGTGGGTGTCACGCAGCGAATTCCCTTGGGCACCTGCGTGGGGGTGGGGGTGGTCCCGCTGCTGCTTTTGCATCCCCTGGCTGGAGCAGGCTCTGGTCCTCCCCAGCATCCTCTGACTCGGCTCGCTGGGCACATCCCTGTCCCGGCTGGGCACACAATGGAGGAGGAATGCTGCCACCCTGGGATGTGGCCACGGGGTTGTGTGGCTCAACCACAGTTCAGGGGACACCAGCCACCTCTGACATCGTCACCTCTCGCTTCACCTAACGCGTTTTGGGGTTGGGATGAGGAACAGAGCGTTCCTCTGCCCGTCTGTCCATCCATCCATCAATCCATCCCAAGGCTGGAGCACACCAGGTAGCCAACAGAAACCCAACTGAACGTACACTGGTGAGCCGGACCTTGGGAAAGTCATCCTATGGCATGCAAGGCATCAAGCTGATAGAAACTCGTTAAGAAACTCATTAAGACCCTGCTGTAATCAAAGGAAGGAGAAGGGGCTAAAGGGAGGCGGGGGGGAACACGAACCAAACTGTTCAGCGCTGGTTAAAAGCATCACCTGAAGAGGAAGGGTGCTGGGAACCAACCAGCTCATAAAATACCTTTGGTCCACAAAGGTGTACCAACCACATTTTTGGCTTTTTTTTTTTTTAGGATTTACACTTTTGAGTGTTTTGGGTTTTTTTTTCAAATTTTAAATTTACTGCAGCTGAAGGAAACTGAGGCACAGCAGGGTGCAACTCCCACCGTTCCTGGGTTCAGTCCCGACTGTTTTGCTGGGGTATGTGCCGCGCCGGTGCTGCCCCCTGAGCCCAGCTATGCACGGGGCGGGCTGGTCTGCAGTGCCCTCTCCCCTGCCCTGTGTGAGCTGGACACGTCCCCCACCACGGGGTCCCTCGCGTTGCCTTCGATGCTTCCCCAGCTCCTCTCTGGAGCTGAGCTTTTAGCACAACGCCGCCCCGAGCCTGGCTTGTTCTTGTGGACCAGGATTGGAGCCGTTTCTGGAACGCTTCTCCCTACAGCGCGACTTTCCTGTTTTCCCACGGGTTGTGCAATGCAAAGGATTTTTTCACTTTGCTGTCAAGATTTGGCTAGAGACTTGTTTACCGGGCCTACAAAGCAGGGAAACCAGATAGTGCCATTTCTCTGTTATCTGCTCCGCTTGGGAGGCATAAAATTCATGGCGACTTTCAGGAATATGCCGAGTGGAAAGTTAACGGCAAACGGGCGGGAGGTGTTCTGGCAGACGAGGGGAGCGATGCTAGGGGAGGATGCACCCTTGCCGTCTTTCTGCAGCTGTTTTGAGGCGTAAGTGGCGTTTTGTACTAACAATGCCTCGGCTCCTTATTATGCCCAGAGGAATCTTAAGGGAAACGGGGCGGCAGGGACTTGCTGGCTCGCCAGCTCCAGCGCGCCGTTGCCCAGTGGAGCGGGCAGAGAGGAGCGGTGGAGGATGCCAAGCTGCCATGTCCGCCCACCCCTTATCTCGCCGGCGCATCGTTGGGCGCTGGCGCTTCCCAGCCTCACCATCCCCGTTTCCAAAAAGCCTCCCAGCACGGCTCCAGCAAAGCCGCGGGCAGGCCAGCAGCTCCGCGCAGAGCGCGGCTGCACCCAGAAGGAGGAGGGGAGCGTTAAACACCAGCACTGTCGTAAGCTGCCCGAGCGCTTTAGGCTCCAAAATTAGATTTTGTCAGTCTGATGAAATATTTTTATAGATGCAATATAAAATTTGATGAGAAGCGGTCCCAGCGTGGACACGGCTGCGGGTTCGGACAGTGCAGGGCAGGGGATGCTCTCAGGAGAGGCTGTCCTGCTGTGGGGCCTGAGCCATGGCCATCATGGTAATAAGGTCCCTCCTTGGAGTCACCCTCGGCGTGAAGAGGCTAAGAACATAATTCCCGCAAGTGTGCCATCAAGGAGCGTTTACACCCAGCAGCAGCCAAAGTAGGGAGGTGATGACCATGAGATGGCAGCAGACAGGCGCTTCCCCTCCTCCAGGAGCACGGTGGGTGCTATCCGGAGGTCCCAGCCCCCTCCAGGGGCTGCCAGGCAGGGCCACCACCAAGCCCCAGGGAATTGCACGAGCCGCTGTGGTCAGTAGGAACGATCACGCTCGTCTCAGCGTGTATCCCAAGGGGTTTTATGAACACAGCGTGGCTTCACTTTGCATCTCGCCACTGCGCAGTGAAGTCAAGAGTCCGTTTTACAAGTGAGACAGCGGCGGTTCGTGAACCTGAGCGGCTATTTCTGACGCTCTGCAGCATAAGCTGTGAGAAGGTCCCTGAAGTGCCAGTTTCCCAATGCTTATGCTGCCTTGGCAGTGCTGAGATCCAGAAACCAGAGCCTTATAATGCCAAAAACCCAGCCCTAAGTCCTACCCACAGCTCAGATAGATACAATCACTCTGTCAAGATCTCGCCAGCCATGTGGTCCTGTCTCTTCCTCTGTGTTATAAACTTAAAACTTCGACCTATTTAAAAGTTATCAATATATTTCATCTTCCCTATTACAGGAAACTCATAGCTTCCACAAGAATCATTCTGAAGGCGGGTATCCCTCAGAGAGGGCAGCAGACAGTACCCACCCACCAGAAGAAGGGGTCTTGGTGTATATTCTTGGGTTGGGCTTGCCTTTCCCCAGCCTTGGCGCTACGTTTTACTATTCCCTGGCCCTGTAGAGTCTGAAACACATGAAACAGAGTTTTTTGCTCTCATGTTAGGATTCTGAGAGCTGATAGAACATCAAGGAGCATAATGAGTCCCAAACTCCAGGCTGCTGTTCTTCCCAGTTGGTCTGCAGTCGGATGCCACCCTACCCCAGCTGTGAGGCTGCAAGATCTCACCAAGTACACAACTGTGGAGAAACTCCACATTTTTCTGCTTGGGTTTTGGGGTGAACTTCTGGACCCTCTGCAAAGGCAAAAAGCTTTCCCATTAGCCTTTGCAGAGGGAACGTTTCAGCCTCTAAAATTTTCCATTGCTGTTTTTTTCTGAGACCTGGATGGGCTCAGCTGGTCCTTCTGCTTGAAGAAGACCACATGGGCCTCTTCTCCTCCTGCCATATCCCCCACTGGGTGATACTGCTGAGTGTGGGTTTGCATTTGCCATTTTACCCCAAAAGTAGTTGCATCTTACTTTAATAAATTGCTCTCATCTCTGTAGGTTCACGTGCTCAGAGTACCACAGGCTAAAAGCTGATCTCCCACAGCGACTCAGCTGCTAATCCTACACAGAAGTCCAAAAGGGTGGTACTCACACAGGTTTTAGCTTCTTTCAGATATATGGTGGGCCGATTATTTTTCACCTGGTCTTTACAGATGACCTGGAAAGATGAAAGAAAAACAACTCTCAGATCATTGATGTAGGTTGGAAGGACAGTTGGTCACTGATACAACAGATTGCCCCAAGCCAGGAGACATCCTAACTGAACCTCTGATTTATTTTATGGAAATGAGACAGGCTTGGGAGCCCTTCACTCAGCCCTTTATGCATGGAAAAGATTTTCACAGATGATTACATGGTTGCTAATGCACACCCCAAACCAGGCGTAGGATTTGCAGTACAGGGTGAAGCAGGAATTGGCTTGGGCAGTAGGAAGATCCGTGCCAGCGAGCCACGATGCCATCCTGCCCTACAAATAACGAGCACCTAGAAAAAGAATCCTCTTCCCTCCTTCCTAGCACCGGGATCTTTAGTTATCCTGGCTTGTGTTTTGAGACGCCCTACGCTCCCAAATCATTTTCTGCTAATACCATCCATGCACAATTTACCCTGAATTGTGGTCTTTGCCCTCTCGTCAAGTCTAAGCCCACCCCAAGGCAGCTTCTGCTCTCCATAATGCTTCCCTCCCTCTTCCCAAATTTCACTTCTTCCCTCTTCAGCGCCCAGACCAGAATCCCCTTCACCTCCATCCTCTGTGTCCCTTCACTGGAAAGCTACAGGAGAAAGGGGTTGGACTAGATGACCTTTAAAGGTCCCTTCCAACCCAAACCCTTCTATGAACCTATGGTTCTATGAGCTACAGTTTTGCTGCCACATGTGTTCCTAAGGCGGATCTCTCTGACACCAACACGCACGGTGAGAAGGGCTGCAGCTCTCACACGTACATGGGATGCCACCTAAATTTTAACAGACACCACTACAAAGTGCCCACCTTCCCGTAGGCGTCATTACCTCGTTGTGGAAAGAAGCGCTAGGGGGCGGGTGGCCAGGACTGCTGCTTGCCCTCTGGTCCCCCGGAGCTGGGGCCGATGTCTGGGCACTGGTAGGGCTCTGGTCAGCACTTGCAGGTTTGGTTGACGCAGATCTGGCGTCGTGGCTTCTCTGGTCTGGGTCCCCAATACACACCGAAAAAACAAGCAGACAGACACTGATAGAGGATACAGCTGACACGGCTCCCTTCATGAGCAGCTGAAAGTAAGTTTTCAGCTCTAGCCCTGCCTTGGTCATTGTGTCAAAGCTTGGAGAGGATTTGGGGTGCTGCTTTTTTTTTGTTAAAAAAAAATTAATTTTGATATGGAAAAAATATCATTGCTGCTTTGATTTTCTGCTGCTGAAACCCATCAGAGTGTGCTGGAGAGACGAACCCAAACGCTACGATGGCTGCACCTTGGTAGCTGGGTGATCGCTTCAAAAAAGGAGTACTGCTGGGTGAAGGGGATGGCCCTCATTTCACTTTATCTGGGGTGTCTTCCGTGGAGGTCTCGACAACAGAGGTGGACTGTATCTGAGCTGGCTACCCAGGATCTCCCAGGGAATGGAGTTTGTTGCACAGTCCCACTGACAACTGCAGCTGCCTCCGTTAAGGAGGAGCTGAAATACCAAAACCTCTGTTGACTGCACCGCCATCAGCTATGGAAGAAGCCCAGGGTGACACGCTTAGAAGTAGTGCCTGGCGCTAGGGGAGACAGCCTGGGGTGTCCTGCCTGCCTCCTACTCCAGAAGGGCACATGCCCCACGTCTACCAGCCCCATGCAGGTGTCTCAGATACCCGAGGTTATCGCAAATGCCTTTGTTAAGGTCTGTAGCATCTTAAGAGTTTCTTGTGCAATCAGAATGGTGCAAGGAGCACAGCAGCCTCCTGCCTCCCCAAATCCTTTTGAAGAAACGGATCTCCACCCCTGGGTTCCTAATTGTTCCTTAAACGGTGCCAAAGAGAATTAAAATGCCACATCCTGTTCACAGTCTGTTTGCTTTTGGGACTCCTGCCTCTTCCACAGAAAAGATGAGGGATATTTATCTCTGAAACACATTCTGAAGGCTCCAGAGGAGAATTAATTTCAAAGCCATATGTTTCTCTTGCATTCTCTCACCTTTTTTTTTTTTTTTTTCAAATGTAAAGGGTTTTTAGACCTCCTCATGCACAATGCTTGAGGTCAAATTTGAATTAATATAATTTCATCTGTCACCCTTTAATGGAGAACAGTCCTGTGGAGCAAGAGGGGAAAGAAACATCCTTCATGAAGATACCCATTTCACCTCCTCATGCCTGCTAACATCCTCAACACATGACTCGGGTGAAGCTGGTCTTGCATTAAGACCTTGGCCCGTTTAGTGATGCTATCAGCTGGAAGGCTGAGGGGGATGGAGATGGTTTTTTGAGTGGCTTCTGTATTGCAGGTAACTGGAAATTGGGTCAAGGACAACGTTCTCTAGAGGAAAATAATGAAGGGCTTCAGTGTCATCACAGCTTTTATTTAGACCCAGACCCTGACTCACAATCCCACCCAAGTCTGGAAGGCTCCATGGAACCCTCACAAGTCCCACAGTGGGATTACTTCCCCGTAAATGCTACCAGACAAAAAAAAAACAAAGGGGAGCTTAAACTGTGCCTCACCAGGACACTTATGAACTAACATGACTCCGTAAAGCTCCAGAGGTCTAGAAAAAACATATTAATGGTGTTCAGCAAGATTCTAAACACCACGTGGACACTCATAATGCTGCTTAGACAGAAGTCAGCAGCCACCCCCCCCCCCCCGATGAATATCCTTCCTAACTGCTCAGACTCTTTAGAGGTTGTAGACTCAGAGTTTAGCCACAAAATCTCCTTAGTCATCTAAAGCTTATTTTCTGTGCATGCCCAGACAGCCTTCACTAAGCTGTCAGCCATGCTAGGGATCTTCTACAGTCAGCATTCGGCGTGCTGTCAATCTGTTTCACCGACTCTACAATGTCAGCCTCCTCCTCCGAACTCATCGCTGCTGGCTCCCTTTTGCAGCCACTGAAGATGGAGTCATTGCAGTTTGGGCACAGTGTGGTCCATCCGAAAGCCAATGTCTATGCTTGTTGATTCGTGCCTTGGATTTCACTGACTGCATTGACTCGATCTCCACTGATGACAACAGGGAGCTAAACACACAGTTGTCATGGAGACAACTATGCTGGAAAATCCTAAAATGAGACAAGGTGATGACACCCCATAATGACAGGAGGTGTTTACAGTAGCCAAAGGAAAAGACCACGAAAGGGCATCCCAGTATGAGAAATCAAGGTTCTCATCTTTTGGTACCTGCTCCAGGAGTCAGCGTGGTGGCTGCCCCTGAGACCTTGTCGGTGCTGCCAGGTGGTAAAGGTAGAGATGCTTTGGCAGTGGTGTGGAACACAGATCGTGTAACAGACGTGTTGGTGCTGCCAGATGTGGTGGAAGAGGACGGTCCCTGGTCTGGAGAACTGGAAGAAGAGTGAGGCTGCTTGGTGACGTATGTGGGAGAAGAGACACCAAAGTCCTTGAGCCCAGGGGAAGAGGTGTTCCTTGGGACTCCGGTGCTTGCAGTGGAGCTGGTCAACTGGTCCGAAGGCTGGCTTGCCTGAGCTTTTGAGCTGGGAGGGGATGTGACAGCAATTCCTAAACCTCCTGGAGAGGCTGAAGTGCTTCTCCCATGAGTGAGGACAAGACTTCTAGTAGTGGTGGCTGCCGAGCTTCCCAAGCTGGCTGCAGGGCTAGCCTGCTGGGTGGCGCTGGAGATTGCAGCAGTGGTGGCTTTTGAGTCTGCGGAGCTGGTTGAAGAGCTGACCTGCTGAGACGGGCGGGGCGATGTGGTGGGGGTGAGTGGTGGGTCTCCTGGGTGTTTTGTGGGGGTGGCCCCTTGAACTGTGGTAGGTGACCTCTCAGGGGTGGATGGTGGTTGTCCTGGCTGGCTTGTAAGGGTGGTCATTCGAACAGCGGTGGATGGTAGCACAGTGGTGAGTGGTGAGTTTCCGGGCTTGCTTATAGAGGTGGTCACTTGAACTGCGGTAGGTGGCCTCGTAGAGGGGGATGATGGGTGTCCTGGACTGGTTGTAGGGTTGGCCCCTTTCGTCATGCTGCTGTATGTAGTCATGCTTTGCCTGTTTTCTCCTTGGCCTGGAGAGATCTTTGTAACATCCTGAGATCTGACACCTAGAGAAAAATGAAAACACCAAGATAAACTTTGAACTGAGGAAACTACTCTTGGTTTCCACTCAGAACAGGTATTTGTAGAAATAAAATAAACGCAGACCAGAAACCATGAGTCATTCACTCGGGGCTCTCTAAACTCATACCAAATGTCACATTTGGTATCACTGTGTCAAGCAGAAAGCAGAGCAGAGGAGGAGGAGAAGTCAAACTCACAGGACTTCAAAGGGGTTGGAAGGTGAGCAGGAGGGCAAGACGTGCTGGTTCCCAGAAGACAGGTCTCCCTCAGATGGGAGGTGCACCAGCTTCCCCGCAGAGCACTGTAAGTCGTTCCCAAAATAAAGTACGTCCAGCCCTCGTAAGGCAGCAACCAAGGGATGCGCTGAGTGCTGTCTGTTCAACCCTGTTATGAGGGTCTCTCACAGCCCTGAAGTGGTGAGGAGCCTCAGATAAACAAGGTGTCACTTCTGACCATGCTGCAAGTTGTATTCTTTTTGCAAGCTCAAGCTTTGTTTCTTTAATTGCTCATGTTTCAACTTTTTTTTTCCCTCCCAAACTCAGATAATTACTGTAAAAACATCATAAAATAAGGACTCTCACTTGAATCCAGAGAGTCAAGCCATTGAAGGTGGTGAGGCACTGGCACAGGTTGCCCAGAGAAGTTGTGAATGCCTCATCTCTGTTCAAGGCCAGGCTGGATGGGGCTTGGAGCAACCTAGTCTAGGGGAAGGTGTCCCTGCCTGTGATGGGGGGGTTGGAACTAGATGATCTTTAAGGTCCCTTCCAGCCCAAACCGTTCCATGACCCTGTGGTTCTATGAAAATTTCTACACACTGAAATTCCCAGTTGGGGGAACTGCGGAAACAATATTTATTCTGCTTGCTCTGAAAGAATCGGTCCACACTGTATAGAGTATGCAAGTAAATACATAAAGCATTTACTTGGAGCTGCGTTATTTTAATTTTAAGGATGTTCTGTTCATCTGTCCCTTGCAAACATTATCACTGATCTACAATCACATATATGTTTAGCTGATTGTTTTGCTATTCTGAAAAGCCTGAGAAAGTCACATTAAAATGTTTAAGGTCAGCATTCGCTTTCAAAGGAAAATCTTACAACAAAAATGAAATCAAAGGATGCATTTAGGAAAAGGAGAATCAAGCCAGGAAAATGAAGGGCTCCATCTACACGTACTACGTAAGACCCTAATGCCACCACCCAAACCATGAAATTCCCATGCGTTTTGACGTGGTCTTTACCCTGCATTTGCACATCACATAGAAACACTACTTTTATCATGGCTTATTTGTCTTTGAGGAAATCCATGAAGTATTTCACTGAGAGCTGACATTACCTAAGTGGGGAAAAAAATGCGAGTCTCAAAGCAAAGAGGGTTGTCCATTGCTCAGTTATCTCACATTATCATACATAAGGGTGTCTGCAGTTGGTTTCAGGAGAATATTTTAAATATTCAAATTATGAAGCTGTTTCTCAGTAAGGGATGCAGCTGAAGGACAGCTTGCCTGACAAGAGAGCTCTCCGACAGCAGAGCACTCTGCAATGTCCTGCAATGCTAAAACATGGCATATTCACTGCTAGACCGGTATAAAAACTTGGGTCTATTTTTCTGTTTGTAATCACTGCAGGAGGTCCATCAATTGCCAGGGAGACAATTTCCCCCCATTGCACATGGTAACCACTAGCTCTGGGCTCTCACTCAAATTCACCCCAGGAAAGTTTCAACCAATTTTTCACCTTTCAAGAACTGCAGCCACTTCATCCATGGATCTGGCTGGAGTTAAGACAACCACCTGATTATGGAGGAGAGGGGTTTTTCCATTTGATGAATGTGCAGAAAAGGGCTATTTTTTTGCCCCATGAGGCTCTTGTATATTCTTTTCAACCCTCCAAAACAGGAGTCACACTTCCAAGGTTTGATTTTTACCCATATCCTAATGCTGCTCTCCAGAGAACTGCTTTGTTCCTCCACGCTGGCATACCGGCATAGTATTTTCTCTTACAGTCCCTGTTTATTAGCACTGATTCTTCAAAGATCTGATGAAAACTTGAGTTTCTGACATTCATACTGCTGTGAAAAATCTAACTCCACCACATCAGGACCCAGAGTGGTGGAGGTATGTTTGAAACAGGACCCGGGGAGTGGGATTTGGGATGAGGAGGCTGCCACAGATCTGGGGTCCCATGGGAACTGCCTGAGGGCGGGGTCGGTTCGGAGGAGGCAGAGGGGCTACGGCTGGGCTTTGCATAGGTGTCTGAACAGGGAATAGAATAGAATAGAATAGAATAGAATAGAATAGGATAGGATAGGATGGGATGGGATAGGATAGGATAGGATAGGATAGGATAGGATAGGATAGGATAGGATAGGATAGGATAGGATAGGATAGGATAGGATGGGATAGGATGGGATAGGATAGGATAGAATAGAATAGAATAGAACAAAATAGAATAGAATAGAATAGAATAGAATAGAATAGAATAGAATAGAATAGAATATTTGCAGTTGGAAGGGATCTACAACAACCATCTAGTCCAACTGCCTGATCACTTCAGGGGAAATGCAGAGCCAGGAGAAAAGATGTGCAGACCCCTCTCGTGAAACGCTGTTCCTATTCCTGTTTCCCCACCAGCTGCTGGGAGCAGCCATTTCTGAAAACACCGTTAAGATGTGAGCTTAACTGAAACTAGCAGCATGAACCGTTTTAGGAAACCCTGGGCTTGCGAGGAAACATCTCCACTACATCTGCGAGGAAGGAGCTTGTGTGGAGGTAAGTCGTGTTTCCTGTAGTCCACATCTGCTTGTGTGGAGGTAAGTCGTGTTTCCTGTAGACCGACTACTGTCTGCAGGAGAAGAAGAGGTAAGGAAACAAAACACAGGCATGAGGACCTAGCAGATGAAACCCAGATACAAAAGATAGGAGGGAGTTTTAATCTGGCCACCTCCTTAGCTGTATTAGCATCTTGCCTGGCTTGAATTCCCAGTGACGGTTGCACCAAGCTAAAGACCAGGCATCCAGTTAGCCACAAAATGGTTCTACTCTATAAAGAGGGCTGTAAAAGTTTGTCAGGGATTTTGACAACATGGGAGGTAAAAAAAAAAATCCTCTAAAGGTAGAAACGATACAAAAAAGGCATAAATAAAGACAGGGTCATAAGGAAAGTGGAGGAAATCGCCCACTGCTCTCGCTTCCTTTTCATGCCCCGGCTCTATCCCAGAGAGTCAGGAAGCAAACAGGCACCAAAGGAGAGGTAGAAAGGACAATTCAATTCAACTCGGTCCAAAAGAGAAAGGGGCAGGTCCCTGCTTTGGCTCTGGTCCAGCCTTGGTGGCCAGCTCGGATCTCACAAGCCAAGAAACCAGCATCCCAGCCCCAGCACTTCCGTGTCCCACCCTGGGGAACTGCAGATAGGTTTTTTACCACTTTTATCAAAAATTGGGGGAAAAAGCTCAAAGAAAAGGGTTGCTCTGCTGATGGAGAAAGCTGGCGTGACCTTCCAGGCTTGCCCTGGCTGCGGTGGTAGTAAGGTCTCTTTCAAGGGACACAGGGTGACACAGCCCAGAAAAGCAACTGGGAGAAGAACCAACACTCAAGCTGATGCCCACAAATCACAGAATCACAGAACAGCAGGGGTTGGAAGGGACCTCTGGAGATCATCTAGTCCAACCTCCTGCTAAAGCAGGTTCACCTAGAGCAGGTTACACAAGATCATATCCAGGAGAGGTTTGAACATCTCCAGAGAAGGAGACAAGGAAAGCTTACTAGGATTTTATCTTTCCATATCTCCGCATCCACTCTTAGCACTCCTCTCCTGCTAAGGTCAAGAGATGTCAAAAGATCAATTTATTCTTCCTCGTTAAGTCAGGACCAGTGATTAGCGGGCTCAAAACAACTTGAGGAGCCAGCACACTCCTGCTTGGAAGTGGCGAGCCACCACACCGGGGGATGGAGGGGTGGAGGGATGGATGCATTCCACAGGTGCCGACCACGCAGGCAGGTAAGACCCTACCCATCCTACTCCATGGGCCTGGCTGAGGTCAGGCGATGCTAAGTGCCACAGAGGTAGAAATCACTCTCCTTTGGTGAGTGATGACCTGCATCCCTTTGGCAAGTGACAACACAAATAATACATGAGCCAGAAAACACTTCACCACTCCCTCCCTCCCTACACTATTCCCTCCCTACAAACCCGCTCTGCTGGATGGGACAACTGGGAAGCCCTTTGCAGAAGATCTCTCATCCCAAACTTGATCTGAAGGTGATGTTTCTTCACTCAACTTCACCCCAGCTCAGCTGGGCTGCTACGAAATTTTCACTTCCCCCCTTTCTTTTTCCAGAGCTGGTTTGTCTCAAAGCAGAATGTTTTGAAGAATTACTGTTGCTGGCTGATGCAACGGCTGTGGTGAACCGCAGCCACAGAGATGGCACAAGGAGCCAGATGCTGCTGCAGTCCCAGGGGCTGCACACCTTTCTGCAGTGTTATTGCTCTGGGCTTAATATTAGTTTTTTGTCCAGGGACTGTCTCACTGCAGTATTGGGGAAAAAAAACGTATTTTATTCAGCCTGGGGAAAAAGAAATGTCATTTTTCATGTCTTGCATGTTCACCGCCTGCAGAAGGCCTGGCTTAGGCAAACTCGCTGCTCTCATTTTCAGAACCCTAGCGAATACTTAATTCCAAAGCAGAAACGAATTCACAACAAGCAGTGAGAGCACCGCAAGCCCAGGAGTCACTGTTTTCCTTCCACACACGCTGTAACTCTTTCAAACACCAGAGAACTAGTTTTTTTCTCTTCCTCCATGGCTGGCTACCCATGCCAAATCTTGGTGGCAGACCCAGAGGTAATAACTGGTAATAAGCCCCTGTTTGCCTGGGCTGGTAGCCAGTATTGCCTGACGACTGTCCTC